ATTTACATATTTTCATGAAAGCTGCTAATTAGAAGTATTATTTTTAAAGATATATACATATGTTCGGCTATTAGGGTTTTAGAATCGAAATTTTCAATCTTTAATTTTAGGGAGCAACCGCAAGGTTATCAATCCTCAGATAAATTTGCTTATATAAAGCGGTAATTTTTTGAAATAATAAATACTGTGCCCAAAAGATAAGGTGACATTGTATTTATTTTGAAAATTCTTTATTTTTCCAAATCAATTTCATTCCCTTCAAAGTAATACCCACTAGATGTAGTACATTATGCCAACGGATTTTCCAATCTTCGAAACACTGGTTGTAGTCACTTTCCGGGATGGCCTTCAGTTGCGTCTTCGCTGCGGCTTGAATATCTATAATATCGTATAAAAACGGTGTCCCCGGAGCGGTCTTTTGAGTTTGGTGAACAGCTAGAAGTCGCAMAGCACCAGWTCAGGTGAATATGGTGGTTGCGGAAGGATATGGTCGAGTTTTTGGCGAAATGATCATTTAATGCAAATTCTTCAACAAATTTCGACAACGCAAAAAACGAAAAACTCACTTTTAGCAGCTCACAAAACAACACGTATCTCAAACACTAATGAATATTTTGACAATATTTGAAATTTGACATAAATGTGACTGACAGTACTACAAACCTAAAAAAAAAAAAAATAGTTCTCCAAATCCTTCGACGCGCGCAGTTTAAACTTAAATGTCACCTTATTTTTTGGGCACAGAGCTATATTATAACATAATATAGTGTTATATGTTGACTACAGTGGCAACTGTGTGAAATGCCTGCGTGTTTGATCTGGATTTAAATGAATAAGTCATTGATATTTAATTGTATAATCTCGAAATTGCGGCTCGTTCATCGGTTTAAAGATTTTTTTTTATAATTTAGGTAAACATATTATTTTTTGTCATCAATGAAGTTTTTAGGTTAATGTTACATATGTTTGTATGCATGTAAATGTTGCGATATAGTGAATGTCAATACATATATAAATACAACGCAAATGCTTGCCGTAGTTATTAATACGTTTTTCGTATAAATTATAATATAATAATGTAAACTTTATTTTGTCATCGTCTCTCTTTACAGAACCAACAGGGAATAGCGCGACTCTCCATAGCAACTCGGCCACCGTGGATTACGTAAATTATGATTATCCGCAACCATCCAAACGTGGTCGTGGCTATGCGCCAACGGGCGAGTTCGATTTGAGTCTYATACGAGAATTTCGTGCACGTCCTGGCTTTTACGACCGCAATTCAGCCAGTTTCAAGGACAAACTGCATACAGCGCATCAATGGCAGGAGATTTCCAACAAATTGGGCTTTGATGGTGAGTAATTAGTAGTTGAAATGCAATTGCGGCTTACTATGATGGTGGTTGGTGCATACAAATGGTTAAGCATTGATGATATATGCTCTTTGTAGATAATATAGTTATGGTTTGATAAGAAAAATCTATAATTAATAAATATTTTGTGTTTRTATATTACTAATATAATTATTCGGATTTATTTTTTGTTTTTCAGCAATTTCTTATATGTTAAGATATATGTATTGTATATATGCACGAAAATGAAATATTAATTGCAATGGCTATACATAAGCGTAAATGCATGTTAAAACATTAATAGGAGTTCATAATAGAATTTTATTGATTTTTGTTGACTACAAATTATATTTGTTGTTTTATTTCAAAAACAATTATTTTTTATTTAATTAATTTTTTTTCGTATTCGTTTCAAGTTTCCATAAAGCTTTATGTACAAATGATTATACTACGTACTATAAATGTACATACGTATCTTTAAATATATTTATTGCCGAATCACCCTTAATTTATTAAAAAATTCAATTATAAAATACTGCATCCACTTATTCATGATTAAATAAGTATTTACAGTAAACTAAATTGAAGAGATTGTGTTTGTGAGGGCCGGAAGAGAGCAAACACAATACATTTATAGGTAGAAAATAACTCAAAAAACCACCCAACGGAAGTGTTGAGACGGTCAATAATTAGTAAAGCTTTCATTGGGTTGTTTATTGTGATATTGCTTTGCGCATGGCAGCAAATCACAAAGAGAACGCTGAAAAAAACAAGAGGAAAAAATATATGTATATTGTATAYGTATGTATAAGAAAAATGAGCAGCAGTATAAAAAATATCAAAATATGTGGACATAAATCGTTTGTAAACAAAATCAGCCGCGTTWAGTTGTTTTTGTTATTGTTAGTTAGATCGGCGTGCATTGAAATCATGTGGTCTTTTCTCATACGAKTAGCAACACGTCAATAGTAGTAGGTGAACTATTCGGCCGCAAATATAACATACTACATATGCATGTATGTATTAGTGATGTGTTTGTTTACAAGCTGAAATAACAGTTAGAAGCAACCACCGTTGCACCTGCCGCCACTATGTYACCTCGTCAACAATAAATTTGTAATAAAAGTAAAACTCCGTTTTTAATTATTGTTTTGTTTTAGTGTCCTTGCTGAAGGATCGCATGCTACAGCTGCGCAATCGCTATAATCTGGAGAAACGTCGCCTCGAGCAAGTACGTGATGAGAATCCTGGCCAAAATATTGAATCACCATGGCCGCTGTTTCAACATTTGCATTTCCTCTCGGAACACATACGGCCGCGTCGTTCGTACAAAAGCATGCAACCGCGTACATCGCTGGCAGACACCGGCGACGATGATGATGAACAACAGCCCAGTAGTCGTCAGCAACAACCGGAACAATATCTGCAACAACAAACACTGAATTCAACAGCAGCGACAACTGCCAATCGTGATTCRTATAGCGATGGCGGCGGCGAGGGTGGTGGCAACAACAGCAGCGCCGATATGGCAACATTCGCTAATGGTCTGCTAGCCGTTAAAATGGAGGAACCCGATGCAGATGATGCAAATGCCGCCGATGAAGAATCGTAATAAYACTTTAACTTAAACTTTGCATTAATTTTAATTATTAACAATTTTATTCCTTTTTTGTTTMCCAGCGCTAGTCAGAGCGGTGACGACACCCGCAGCGCGCATCCCTTGAAGCTAAGCGCCGCTTCGACATTGCTCAGCATGCAACAACGCCAGCCACATTCCAGATCGCCATATAATAGAAGCCATCATGCTGCGACGTCATCGTCGTTGGACGCCTTAAGTAAGCGTCCATTGAAATATTCCGCCTCACCTGCACCACTACAACCGCCAGCAATCAAAATACGCCGTTTGGATACAATGCAAGAGCGCACTTCGTCGTCCGGTGGCGTTGGTTTGCATTCACAATCGCGTACAAACATTCCACATAGTACATTCAATACCAGCCACAATAATGACAACAATAATACAAACAATGCTGTTGGCCAGCGTAAGGAGCTGCAACAGCAACAACAGCAGCAGCAGCATACTTTAGCGTCAGCACGTTCAGCTTACAACAATTTACAAATCAATCGTCGTTGTTTGAGCATTTCCGAGCAGAAGTATGCCGCTTTTGGTGAATTCGTATCTGCTTCGCTGTTGGAGTTACCCGCGACTCGTGCACTGCAATTGGTGGAAAAGTTCACTTCGGAGGTGGTGCGTGTGCTGTTGGATAGTAAGGAGAAGAGCACACAAGCGCCAGCGCAACAAAATGCGATTCAGCCGCAATTAACGCTGTCCGCTACGCAACCATTTCAGCAAATTAACGGCAACATTGGCGAAGCAGTGAATGGTGTTTGAATATACTGCTGCATACACTCTTAATAAAATACAACTAAACATTATTTAATTTTTTTTAATGCTATAATTTTTTTTAATGAACTGACTGTCTTGTGTTTTCCTATAATGTATTGTTTTAATTATTTCATATACTATAATATAATATTTTGCGCAAAGCTTGTGTATTGAATAAAGTTTTCCGCATGTGCTTTTAATAATGTGCATAATTTGAGTTGGAAGCTATGGGTTTCGAGTGTTTGTCGAAAGTTATTGCTTTTTTTTTACAGTTATTTCAACCACTAACTCAAACGTGTGTGTATATTATACATGTGGCTTAAATCAAATATGCACAGACATTTTTTTAGGGGGACAACTAAGATGCATAGAACCTGTGTGGTGAAGTGAGGTTAGTGCACATATTTTTTTTTTTAACTTGATATTTTTCTGTTATTACATACATACATAAATATAAATGCATATTCGAGATCCACAAAAAGTAGTTTTTAATATGCCTCGAACTACTTTTTGACGATGCCTTCTGTATTATTTCATGTATGCAAACGACATTTATTTATAGTCTGTAATGGTTTTTTAATATTCAAAATTGCTTGTGGAATATTTTAAGCTACTACAACAGAAAAAAGAGCTGTTTTTTTTTTTACTGTTACTACAGCAACCGTTTGAAAAGGTTTGATATTGTAATCACATACATATGTATATGTTATTTCAAGCAAAACTATGGACAGTATTAAAAATATCTAAAAAAAAAAACCAAAAAAAGACGAGTAAAACCTTCACTTCGGCTGCCGCAGCTATAACACCTTTAATAGTTAAAAGTTTCTTGATTTTTATTGGCATCTAAAGGCTATGTTCTGAATTTTAAACGTTATCTTAGATAATAATCCAAACTTCGTGAAAACAGCTTGTAAAATAAACAAAATTTCATTACACGAAGTTAATTTTGATCGGTCAGTTTATATGGCAGCTAAAAGCTATATTGAGTTCCGTCAAATGGGCAGTTTATTGGAAAGAAAAGGACGTGTGCAAAATTTCAGATCGATATCTCAAAAACCGAGGGACTCACGTATATATAGACAGACGCATAGACACGATCATCGCTAAATAGACTCAGCTCTTCAACCTAATAACTTTTAGAGTATGTATGTATGTACAGACACATATATCGTTTATAGGGTCTTTGGCGTTTCAAATGGCAAACTTAATATGCCCTGTTAAGGTATAATAAAAAGTAAGTATAATATATAACATTACTGAATCTTTTTTTTTTTTA